ATGAATTTCTTATGCCTCTCCAAAGTATGATATTTATTTTTAAAAAATATACGTTTGTTACTTAAAAAATGATTTCTTCACTTTTATATTGTTATACATGTTATTATTATGTATTTTGTTTTGTAATCGGTAACCAAATCAAATTGAGTGATCGCTAACTGTATCGAATTCATCAGATCCTCAGTAGTTTAACCACAAAGAGAGAGAGAAAAGGGGGAGGGGGGGGGGGCGGGGGGGGGGGAGAGGGTGAACTTTTTGTTTCGTTCTCCACAGCCTGCGTCATTGATTACGTGGTAGGTGATGAGTGATGAGTAATTTGCTAGATTTTTGGTATATTATGTTTGATGAACGAACGTAAACTTTTTGTTTCGTTCTCCACAGCCTGCGTCATTGATTACGTGGTAGTCAATTAACGTATGTATATAAAGAAAAAATATTGAATGTATTTTGAATTCTGAATTGTATGTTTGAATATTGAATGAGTTACAATGAAGGTTAGGCCCATTATATAGTTGTAAGTCCTGACCTTTCATGAATATAATTTTTTTTAGGGACACTTGATTTTTAATATTTTTAAAGGGACACTTGATATTTTTGGGATATAATTTTACATCATTAATTCAGTTTTGGTTCCTACGGGTAGTCTTTGTGCGTATTTACTCATCACATGTGTATGTGTCTTGTGTTGTGTTTTTGTGTCTTGTGTTACGAAATTTTGTATCTTACGAGTATGAGTTTTGTACCTTGTTGTTTTGATTTAGGGTCCATGTGTATGTGTTTTATGTTGCAAGTTTTGGTATTTTGTGTTATGAAATTCTGTACCTTAATAGTATGAATTATGTACCTAAAACAAATTAGTAGTTGTATCTTATGTTATGAATTTGTGTCTTGTGTTATGAAATTCTATGTCTATAAACACAAATTGTGTACCTATATCTTATTTAAATAAATATATAACATGTGTATGTGTTTTGTGTTATGAAATTCTATATCTCATCATTTTGAATGCTATGTGGATCCTGGTCCATGATATAAATTGCAATAATTAAGTGCAACCTTTGGGAGTTTTTTAGTACATATAGTATCTGTTCATACATATTTTCTCAACTTATTAAAGTCACAATTATGCTGCCGGTAATACCTATTTCACATAATATGTTAACTCTTGAAACTGAGATGAGATTTCAACTTGTCATAACCATATAAGAGAGAGAGGGTAGAGGGAAGAGGAAGAAAAAGAAAAAGAACAAAAAAAAAAAAAAAAGTTGCAAGTCCTCATGCGCCGTGCAATGCGCCAAGGTCTCCAACACGCGAAGACAGGCAAAATGCTTTGTTTTCATTTCTCAATCAGTGGACCCCACAAAAATCTCACACTTGTACGAAAAAAATACACCAAAAAATTACATCTATCATTTCTACAACTGCTCAAACTCACAATCTTTCAAATGAAAGTCAACTCGGGTACCATTAGACCACATAGTCTTGGTGCATTGATGTACTTATAACACTAATGTCATCGATTTTTTTTTATTTTTTATTTTTAAAAAAACATTCTAAGTAGGAGATTTTTTTAGGAACAATCATATCTTAACAGCCAGTTCATCCTCTCCAAGCCGCTGTATAAATAAGCGTGGTAATGAGGGGTGCTTCCCGCCATCCAAAGCCTAAAACCCTAGCCCCGCCGTCATTAACTCCAAAACCCTCACACTCTCCGACCACAATGGGCTCTCAAGCTCCGCCGGCGGCGAAATCAAACCCCGTCCTAATTCTAGACTACGGCTCACAGTACACCCACCTCATCACCCGCCGGATCCGAAGCCTCTCCGTCTTCTCCCTCTGCATCAACGGAACCTCCCCACTCGAAACCATAACCAAGCTCGAGCCGCGAGTCATCATCCTCTCCGGTGGCCCCCACAGCGTCCACGCCGACGGCGCCCCGTCCTTCCCGCCCGGCTTCATTGAATACGTCGAGTCCAGAGGCGTGTACGTGCTCGGAATATGCTATGGGCTGCAGCTCATTGTGCAGCAGCTCGGAGGGAAAGTGAACGTCGGGGAGAAGCACGAGTATGGGCGAATGGAGATTGAGGTGGCTAAGGAGGGTTCCGGGCTGTTTGGGAACAAGCGCGTTGGGGATAGGCAGGTGGTTTGGATGAGCCATGGGGATGAGGCCGTGAAGTTGCCCGAAGGGTTCGAGGTTGTGGCCAGGAGTCACCAAGGAGCTGTGGCTGCAATTGAGCATAGGGAAAGGAGGTTCTATGGATTGCAGTATCATCCCGAGGTGAATATAAATTACTCTGTTTTTTTTTTTTTTTTTTTTTTTTTTTTTTTTTGAGCTGCTTGAAATACATATGATGTTTTGTTGTTTCAAAAGTCTGAAAATTTTGTGCTTGATTCTGTGATTTTGAAAGGTCCTTTCAGTGCTTTAATGACTTCAAATATTGCAAAACAGTATTTTGGCACTTACTAATTACAAATTTGGTGTGCTGAAGAACATATTTAAGTACTCTATCCACTAATCACGTGTTGTAGGATTACATTGTTAGTTTCCTTAATCAATAATGTCCTATTTATGCATCATTACTGTAGAATCATATTGATTTTGCTTCTATATTGTTGGACAGTTCAAACTTTAGGATCCCAAGACTTCCAATCTACCAGTCTTTCTTCCCTGATCATAATAGCACTTTAAAAGTCAGATTTTTAGAATCCAAGCCGAAATTGATGGCTATGTATTGCAGGTAACTCATTCACCTGAAGGTATGGAAACACTGCGACAGTTCCTCTTTGATGTTTGCGGTGTGTCTGCGGACTGGAAGATGGAAGATGTTCTAGAGGAAGAAATTAAGGTTATTAGGGAGACAGTAGGGCCTGATGATCACGTCATTTGTGCGTTATCTGGAGGTGTTGATTCGACTGTAGCAGCTACAATTGTACACCAGGCTATTGGGGATAGGCTTCATTGTGTGTTTGTTGACAATGGTCTTTTGAGGTCGGTTTCTAGCTCATTCTTTATTGGGAACCTTTTATCTTGATATATTTCACTAAGGAAGATGTTATTTACAAATTGCTCAAGACATGCATAGCTCTATTCATTTTTGTTTTTTTTTCTCATCTATTTCTTCTTCCTCCTTGCCACACAGGTACAAGGAGCAAGAACGAGTGATGGAGACCTTTAAAAGGGATCTCCATTTACCGGTTACTTGTGTTGATGCTACAGAGCAATTTCTCAGCAAACTGAAAGGCGTAGTGGATCCAGAAATGAAAAGAAAAATAATTGGGAAGGAGTTCATCTGCATATTCGATAAATTTGCTCATGATTTGGAGCAGAAATTAGGAAAGAAACCTGCATACTTGGTCCAAGGAACCTTGTATCCAGATGTGATAGAATCATGCCCCCCACCAGGAAGTGGAAGAACACACTCCCACACAATTAAGAGCCATCACAATGTTGGAGGGCTTCCCAAAGACATGAAGCTGAAGCTCATTGAACCACTCAAACTCCTTTTCAAGGATGAGGTTTGTTTACATCCCTACCATTTTGACACATTTGACCTTTGCCTTCTTTTCAAATGGTTTTCTCTACAACTACTCTATATGGTGCTTCAATTGATTGCCAGGTTCGTGAGTTGGGAAGGATTTTGAATATTCCAGTGGCTTTTCTGAGACGCCATCCTTTCCCTGGGCCTGGCCTAGCAGTACGAATTCCAGGTGATGTCACAGAAGGGAATGCCTTGGATATTCTTCGCCAGGTAGATGACAGTTTTTTTTTTAACTACAAAAGTGTATCAAAATATATCTGCAAATGAATTACCTACAAATCCCCTACCTATATATTCTTTGAATTGAATTTTTTTTCCTTCAGGTGGATGAGATTTTCATCCAATCAATTAAAGAAGCTGGGATTTATGATGATATTTGGCAAGCTTTTGCTGTTTTTTTGCCAGTAAAAACAGTTGGAGTTCAGGGGGATCAAAGAACACATTCTCATGCTGTTGCACTTAGGGCTGTAACTAGTCAAGATGGAATGACTGCAGACTGGTACATATCTATTTTATTTTATATGTTTTAACTCTTTCTGTTTTAGTTTTTGAATAACTAATTCATAGCTATGCATTATCAATTCCCGTTTGTCTACAAAGTAGATTCTGGATCTAGGTGTGGACCTCTAATGACCAGCATAGTTCATACATATTCAGTTTAGGCTTCGTAAACCCACCCTCTTTAGTCCTTACATTCTGGGGTTTTATCTTTTTGGGTATTGGTTCATCCTAATTCGAAGGGCTAACCTATATTGCTATTTCCTTCTCGTCATGAATTACAATATATCTCCTCTGCACTCTAAACAAGGTTTCTATATGGAATTTTAACTTTCAGGTACTACTTTGACTTCAAGTTCCTTGATGATGTGTCAAGAAAGATTTGCAATAGTGTTCGGGGAGTAAACAGAGTCCTTCTAGATATCACTTCTAAGCCTCCATCAACAATCGAATGGGAATGATCCTCTTGTAGGGTGCATCTCCAATTGGTAAAACTAGAAAGGTTTTTAAATGACCTACCAAGAAGTGTGAAACGTTATACAGCTTTTAAGTAGCATTTTATTGCCAAAAGTCGTGTAGTGTTATGTTCTTTGTGAACAAACTTGTGCTTTTTAATGAAAAAATATGATTTTAAGATCGTTAGTTTCAATTCTCTTGCTCCTAACTATTAACTGCATATTTGGTTCACAGAATGGATTTTGAGGGGATAGAATCTCGTTCCTAACTATTAACTACATGTTTGGTTCACAGAATGGATTTTGAGGGGATAGAATCCCGTTCCTAACTATTAACTGCATGTTTGGTTCACAGAATGGATTTTGAGGGGATAAAATCCCATTCCCAACTATTAATTGCATGTTTGGTTCCCAGAATGGATTTTGAGGGGGGATAGAATCCCGTTACATTGATTGGTTCGATGAACACTACAACAATTGTATGTAGTATGTCGGTGTTTGGGTGCACTTTGTATGAAATAGGCTCACATATGCTCTGTCTAAAACTTGCAGAAAACATCAATTACTTCACTTCCTATGCATAAATCAAGTTACATAGCCTCATTTTTTATTTTTGTTTCCACTTACATACAAGGGTGTGACAGAAATGCAATGAGAGCAAAGATCTCTACCACCAAAGATTCATCAAAATGATGTGATCTTCAAGATGCTTGGATGAGTTTTTGAAGTGCTAGTCTAATCAGAGACATCGATATGGCTTTTGTCCCCTCCATCTGCAATTTTAGAAGCCCGAAAGCCCTAAGAATTTCTGAATACTTTGTAGTAACTAATGAAACTTTGTTACATCAGAAATGGTGGCTTACCTTAGCTTTAATAGTCACAGACAGAATCCCATCACTGTTGGAAGATTGAATGCCATGGCAGTCTAAATGCAGATTGTTCAACACCTGCACGATTTTCATCAACATGCCCTCGCTCCATTGGCATTTCATCTCAATCGTAACGTCCTTACTAATCATACTAACAGTTACATCATGACCCGAACCATTCTTCGTGCAATCCTTGTGCTTTCCACGCGAGTTTTCTTCCATATCGCTAACCTTCCTCTTTTGTCGCATTACGTTCTTGCCTTTATCTGCACTTTTAGCACAGCAATTATCAGATATCCTCTCTGCATTGTCACTTCTTGCTTCCAACTCTAGTCTTTCCTTCTGAGGCTCGACGTTTCTGACTCTTCTTTCGAGGTCTCTAAGGTACTCGATTGTCTCATCGAGTATAGATATTTTGTCAACCTGCAAAAAATAAGCAAATATCTTCTTAGCCCCCACATATCGAGCCAGCTAGCTTTTTTTTAGTATACCCAGAGTTTCCACCGTCGGACACAGTGACTAATCCCTTCGTTAGCTAATTCTTAAGATAACAAGAAGTTTAAGTACCTTGCCACTAGTTGGGATCAATGATGCAAGAGTTGTAAATCTCTCGTTTAACTTCTCCCTACGTCTTCTCTCTGATAGAACGCGACTCTTATCAGTTTCATCAGCTTCGGGTTTATGATGGTCGTTCTGTTTGTGGCTGCCACAGAGAACCTTCTTTAGGAGCCTCTGTGGACGAGTTCTGGTTCTTGGCATCGGGTTCTTGGACGATGTTTCCTTCTTCCAAGTAACGAAGCTCGATTCTCTATCGTTATTCCTGAAGTGCGGTCCTAGAACTAGTTGGTGAGAGCTCTTGAGAACGTTCGAAAGAATGCTTTGGTAATGAACATCGACTCCTTTTCCAGAATCCCCGTTTAGCTTCTCTGCATCTGAAAGAGTGGATACCCTTTCGGGATTTACATAGTTCTGGGAGATGCAGTCGCTTGAATTCGTAGAATTATGGATGCAGTTACTGATATCGTCATCTGCAAGTTTCCAGCTTTGTAGCTGTGAAGCTTCCCCGATCATTTCTTCAACCATAAACGAATCCCCTTCTTCTTGGTTGGCCCCAAAACCGTTTGAATTGTTGTAAGGGGAACCGATATTATTATTATCTTCACATTCTACAGGTGGAACGGGACACAAATCGAGCTTATCCTCATCGGGCTCCCTACCACCAATGTCTTTGTCGTTTTTGCCATTACTCGAGACATAATTAGGAACCTTGGAACCAACAGCGTGAGGGATGTCCAGATACGAAGTTCTAATGTGATGAATGAGGTTAAGGTCCTCCAGAACCTACAAACGAAAATGCAACAAGGCGCAATGTGACAGAAAAAAAAAAAAAAAAAAAAAAAAAATACAGTGGAACAATCGGGAAAAATATGAATTATGAAACGGAAATTGGCTTACAAGGTCAGTAGCTCCCAGCTCAATTATACCTCCCAAGTATGGAAAGCATACCACAGTCTACAAGTTGAAGAAAAAGCCATTCTCGAGTGAAACTTACCGAAATGTTTATGCCCATTTTCTAGATTCTCTATATGCATGTTCGAAGAAAGAATGAAAAAGGGGAAAAGATGTACCTGAACCGATGCACTCTGAGGGGTAGAGAAGTTTCGTTTAATTTTGAAGAGAAAACAAAAGTAGAGTAAGGTCAGATCGAGTATCAAAGTGGTAATGACGGTTTTGCTAGATCAAAAGAGACGTTTAATTACTTGCCTTTGCAAGTAAGGATCGGGTAAATATTCTGCTGTCAGCTTGGTGTGCATTGCATAGCCAAATACTTTGGTTCTTCGAAAGTGCCTTCCCAGGCAACCTGGCGAATTTTCAAGAGCATTAGCACGAGGGAAAAAAGGACACCAGAAATTCGGTCATTCTTCAACAGCAAAAGGATCAAAAGGCGGAGCTACCCTTACCCTTGGCCTACATTGAATACGAACGACATGCAAACCAAAAAATACCACTCGGTATCCGTGAGATCTTCCGGTGATAATGCTGTAGGATGTATCTTTGCTAGCGTGTTGGCTTCAGCGGCTAAGAGAGAATCATAAAGCTCTCTCAAGTGCTCGGTTCTCTGCAATCCTAGCAGATCGGGACTAATTTCTGTTGCCTGCACTGTTTTCCTCGTCTTTATATCTCCGTTGTAGTACCCATCGCCCCATTCCAAAACCCTAAACGACATTATTAATCACTTTAGCAGAACACAAGCATATCATCATTAAACAAGGCTATCGGCATGTCTGCCTATATATACAGCACATAGAATTCGTATACATCAGGCTGGAAAACATATTGCAAAAAAAGGGTAAAAAGAACAGAAAGCCTAAATCACAGTCTTGAGCTGATACGTTATTTATGTCATGGCATACACTAATGTCATTTGTGGACGAACAAGTATCTGTATATTTAATGCACAACAAATCTGCATATTGATCATGTTGGTACAGAAGCCCGGGGAAAACTACATAACAACAACCAAAAGCAACCACTCGAGTCGATCACTAAAGATCTGTATTTAATGTAAAGCAAATATGAATATTGAGCACATGGAAACATACCACACATAAAGAGCTAGGATTCATTAGCCCTGGAAGGCTGGAACCCACATAACAATCAAGAACATTCCTTTATGCCCACCAAAACAACGATCCTCAACTTCTAATTCTAAGCATTCTTACGGTGCTGTATAAAAAGCTGGGTTTTTTTTTGTTATCCCCGGAAACCTACTCCATTGGACCCACTCGGTTTCTTAAACGTTATTGCGATTTGAAAGGTCAGAATCAATGAAGAGACTGACATGGCCGGATTCACTCTGTCGTGTCAACAACTCAACCAGGGCTCAAAGAATCATCTCGACCTCTCAAAATTAAAACTTGCTCTTCTTTTCAAAATTTAAACTCCTAATTTAAATCAATGATTTCTAGTTGTGATTAAATCATGTGGGCAAGATTAGTTATCTCACAAGCCTAAAAAGAAAATAAGGAAATCCCCATATACCCACCAATAAGCATAGACACCAATGTGCTAATGATACAAGGAAACTTTAAAAAATAACAAGGCAAAGACTAATTTTATGAAGGGCAACTTTCTTGCAATTATGCAGCTAAAGAAGAAAAAGACTAAAAGAGATAAAATATTCAAAATATATGTAAAGCAGAAGTCTGTCTAAAGCTTCATTACCCTGGCTGGGAAGAGGAAATGGACCAGAAGATAGCATAGCACCATTCAATATTTCTAACTGCAAAACCAAGCTTCTCTCTAAAGTTTTCTGCAAATCCTTCCTGATCTTCACACCCCTTTGCCATTATCAAGCTCAGCTCACTCTACATTTTTCAAATACCCAAAAAACAAAATTGTCAGTCAATGTGTCAAACAAAAAGGATACCATTGAACTTCAAGAATGCAACTGATACCATACCTTAACAAAGGGCACTCAAAAAATTATTATATTTCGCTTTCAATTGAAATCTTTAACCTCAAAACCACACCACATTGGCTCCACAACCCATGCCCTTATCTCAAACCAGCCCCTAATACTTCACTGTTTGCATATCTGAGTTCAAGATGTCACTAATAATGCAGCACAAATGGCCATTCACACCAGTCAACTCATTCTTGCGCTAAAAGCCCAAGAACCTGAAAAGAAAAGCAGGTGATACTGCAAAGGTAAACATCACTTTACAGCACAAACAATAGCCAAAAAAAAAAAAAAAAAAAAAAAACATTTTTTTTTGCAAAGGTGGAGCCTCAAAACCACCCTTCAAACACATGCAAAACTTGAGAGTGCTGCAAAATTTAGCCAAAACGCATACTAGTCCACCGGTCAATGTGAAAAAAGATTGGATCTTTGAATAAAGAAATGGGGAAGCTATGATACTATACAAGTGTGTCCACTATAAAAAGTGACTCAAAAGGATTAAAGATCCAGTCTTTTGGATAGTACCTGCGAATGGGCCTACTGTTCCGAGTACCAAAACTCCCCGCAAGTGACTATTGCTTTAGTGATACATAGTAGTAGTACTCTGTACAATGAAACACTCAAACCAAAGAATGAGGTTTACGAGGTGGTGTTTGCTCAAATGAGGAAGAATAAATCAAGCTTGAGAGTACCAAAACACTCAAATGTTTTCGGTTTTTGGAATAATCTCTTATGATTACACTTCTATTCAATACTAAAGTAGGGGCACATAGGTTTTCAAAAAAAAGTAGGGGCAGATACATATGCACCTTAATTTAGGTTGGATTGTCTCAAATCCTTAAAAATCTTTGACATTTTAACATGATGATAGTATTAATATGACATTAAATTCCACATAAAAATAATGTTTAGTATTTAGCTTTAAATCCTTTAATATATATTAGTAAGTGACATGTTAATATTGGCCATGTCGGGTAAAATAGTCAGTCTATCAGACAATTTTAGTTTATTTGATTACTATTAATTGTTTGACGTGATTAAAAAATCAATATAAGTGTTTGGTTAATTAACTTTTTGTAACTTCAAAATGCTAAAATAAAAAAAGTTGTTTAAAGCAACCTTTTCAATTAGCCTTTTTAGAAAAGAAATTGTACCAAACAGCTATCAACCAACAACTAATTTACCAAACATTTTTCTACAATCAGCTGATGTTGTCAATTAGTTATACCCTCTAATTAACCCAATCAGCTAACAGCTAGCAACCATTTACCAAACATGAATTTGTATTTTTTGTCTATAATTTGTAACAGCCATCGTAGGCATGGATTTGAGGTTATTTTTCATTACTGACCAAAAGAGTATATGTAACAAAGAGGGATTGTATGGACCATGGTCAACATAGCTGTGTAGATTATACTTTCAAATAATGTACATTGTATTTTGAGAAAGTACATTATTACGTACTGAAAGTATATTATTTTGTATAATGTACATTCATTATACGAATAATATACTTTTTGTTATGGTTCGCATAGCACGGTGTGAACCATAGTCCACACAATAATTTGCAATATGTAACCTAGTGTCCTATTTGTTTAATATTTGTGTTCATATTTTACCATTAACAATACAGTTTCATTATGGGTATAGAGTATAGACATTGTCCAATAAAACCTATGTTTATTGCATTAAGATTTTGTTTTTAGTGTATATTGAATAAAATTAAATAGTGACAAGTAATAGTTCAAATTAAGTTTGTTAAATCAAAGTAAATAAAATTTTTGGTTCTCATTGTATTTGTCATATTTATTATGGAATATTTGAAAATTAAACTATTTCATTATTCAATTTTTTTTATTTGTTGTAATTTTAAATCTAACTTTTTTTTTAATGTAATATTTAATACATTAAATTAACTTATTCTACTTTCAATTACTTAGTTATATTGTCCTTGTCCGATTATGGGTTGAACTATTAATTTTTTTTTTTTTTAAAATATTTAGTACACTGTGAAAAGTCTAGTTTAAAGCTTATACTTTGTTTTAAATTACAAATAAATTATAAAATCTATTTTATAAATAAAAGACATTTAAAATAAAAGTTTACTTTGAAACACTACTTGGAATATCATTTAAATAATTAAAAAAAATTCTCCTATTTTTTTTCTCATTCAGCAAAATTAGGTTATACTATCTTTAACATAATTTGCTATATTCTTTTATACATATTTTTAAATATTTGATCTCTATTATTGTTCTCTTTTTTTTTTCATTTTTTTTTCATTTTTTGGGGGGGGGTTTTTATTCTTTCTTTTGCATGATTTTTCTACTCTCTGACTATAAATAATATGATTTTACATGTCTTGAGAGTATATGTTAATTTTTACCAACAACAACAACAATGATAATAAAAGATTTTTTTTTTTTTTGTTGTCTTTATACATTTATGAACTTACCCAATTATTAATTTTACCAAACACTTTTAATCATAATCAAATAGTTTAACAGCTCTAAATTTTTAGTTCCTAATTTCTAACTTTTCAATTATTAACTAGCTTTTCAGTTAAGTTTACTGAATATAGTAAAAAACTTTAATAATTTTAACCATGTTGTTAGTATATTTGTCCAATATACTAGAGTCTGGATCACTATGTGCAAATTTGTGTTGGTTGTTTTTGTGTTTCGATCAATGTGACAATGTCTAGTAAAATGGTTGAAATTAACATTATATTATTGATTAATGATGAGTAACTCAATTGATATATCAAAAAGTAATAAAATTATAGTAAAAGACTTACAATTTCACCCATCGATTCTCAATCTTGGAGGCATCTAAAAGCAATAGGTACTTGATACACTCTAGTAGATGCACATGACTCTCCTCCACAATCTTCACTAACCTCAATTACCCAAATAATCAGCACATTTGTTGCCCTATTTAAACGTATGCCAAATTCCAAAGGTCCTTCGTTTTCAACAAGTCTCCTGCGATCTCATTTGATTGCCCATTATCTCTTCGTAGGTTTTCGCCACAACATCTAAATCTAGCTCATCTTTTAGCCTTCTTGTAAGCCATTGTTTTGATCCAATGGAAATCATCCTAAAAGATACTATAATTCTATTGTAAAGTTGTCTCTCAAGTAGTTAATAGAGTATTTTACACCTAGCCAAATGAAACTGCAGACCCTCTCAATATATATAAGATCTTGAATTTGCACAAATTTTCCGCTTGCATTGAGATCCCATCTTGGAAGATGTAGACTAATTTTAGTAAAGGTATATTAATCCTCCCAGACATCTGCGCGAATCGCCTTCTCAAATCCTCCCAGACATCTGTTGCCTTGTCCAAATGCATAATGGATTGAGCGATCGAAGAGTGTACCGACCTAAAAATCCACGAACACACCATTAAACTGCAACGTCTCCAAGCTCTGTAGCGGTTGCTTTCTCTGTTCGGTGCTGGAAGACTACTGTCGACGAGATACCATTTGCTTTTGACTTCTAAGGCGATCCTCATCGAAATACACCAGGAAGCATAGTTAGAGCTTCCTATTAGAGTATTAGAGGCGGACGGACCAAAATCGTAGATGGATTCTCATTTGTGCTAAGGAAGTACAGATTCTCCATATCTTCCGCTGCAAATTTCCTCTGCGAATTAAGATGCCTCTGCGGCGTTGTTGTCGAGGACTTGCAAGTCGGCGATCCAACTGCTGGTGTCGTTGCATGTCCTTCTTGGCTTGTCTTGTTGGTGACGACGACGAGGTACGAGCTTGGCCGTAGCTCTGATACCATAGTGGGAGTTACAAGACGAAAGATATGAAAATACATTTATGACCCTTTACATTATCCTTCTTTCTCTAATAGTAGAAGTGTCAAAATGGGCCGATAATGATTTAGAGGTTGGGCATGGGACGACTTGGCCGAACAAGGCAAATTATTGCATGGACCATGGTCCATACAATTGTGTGGACCATGAATATCAGGTACATTTTTAATATATTAAAAGTACATTATTTTTGTACTGAAGGTACATTATATATAATAATGTACCCTTAGTATATTAAAAATGTATTTTCAAAAAATGTACCTTACTTACATAAATAATGTACCCTTAGTATATTAAAAATGTACTTTTTATTTATGGTCCATACAATTGTGTGGACCATGGTCCATGCAATAATGATTGTTTCTAATGTTTTAATTATCTTTTTGTAAAATTAATTAAAAATATCTTAAATTATGTTTTTAATTATTTTAAATTTTGTTGAAAGTTTTAAAATTTACTTTTTAAATTATTATTGATGGCAAAACGAAACTTAAAGTTATATTATCCATACTAACATGTTCTATTTTGTTGACATTTTATTTAAAACTAGGTTGAACTTCTATATCAACGTACAACAACAACAACAACAATAATAATAATACTAATAATAATAAAAATAATAATAATGGTTACCCAACCATTATAAATTGCAATCATTATTGTGTGGACCATGTATGGACCATATTTTGTATACTGTAAAATAATGTACATTCAATACAAAAGTAATGTACATTCAGTACAAAAATCATGTATATTGTATTCAGGAGATGTACATTATTTTTGTACTGAGTATATATTATATTATATAATGTACATACAGTACAAAAATAATGTACATTTAATATATTAAAAATGTACTTTTTGTTATGGTCCACATAACTTGTGTGGACCATAATTTGCCCATTAGAAATGTTTGAAAAAATCAAAATATTATTTAATATAATAAATTTTATTTAATCGATATATATATATATATATATATATATATATATATATATATATATATATATATATATATATATATGAAATTTCCTTTAGATTTTTTTTAAACAAAAATTTCCCTTATTATATAACAAAATTTTCAATTTTTTAATACGATAATATCTCATTGAATACTTTTTTTGTATGTGTCAATTAAGGCAAGCTTTTTTATTTTTTATTTTTTATTTTTTTTTTGTGATGAGAAAAATTCGTACCACTACAAAAAGTGAGTATAGAGTCGATGACAAAGTTAATTAATGTTATGGATCGAAATATGAACTTAATTCTAATAATCTAATATTGAATAATATTTTTTTATTATTATTAGAAGCTTTTCCATATCTTGCATGTACCATTTGACTAATTAACTATTTGCTATATATGCTTTTTATATTATGTTAATTCAATTAAAAAGGAAGAACTTACGATTTTTGTAATTTCGTCATATATTTTAATTTGTCAATCTCATTAAATACAATAGGTACTTTGAATATTATATCAATATCATTAGTCATCATAAATCTCATTTATATTTTGCTAATCGCATTAACCTTTAAATGCTTTTTTATATTTGTCATACATACTTTTTCATTCACATAAACAAAGCTATATTGTGATCATAACCGTACACTTGGTCCACTGGTCTCGAGGCTCTCAACATGTTATTTATTTGCTTATTTTATGTTA